TGTGTAAATAAGATGGCCCCGTCCGTGTAATTTATTTTTAAACTTTTAGTTTAAAAATGATAAAAACTGAACACCCTACAGTACTTTTACAGTCTTTATTTTACAGTTAAAATACATGTTTATCAAATAAAGTCTAATGTTACAACTAATCATGGATCCCTTTAAATAAAGAGTTTTTTGTTTTATTTGTTTACAACAAAAGCAGTCGTCAATGCTAATAAAATGTTTTCCTCAGGGTAACAATGATGATGTGATCTTGTCCTGCTGTCTTCATTACTGCAAAGACAACGCTAAAGATTTGACGCCACCTCAGAAAAGTACGTAGCACCGAATGTCAACAAATCTCTTTTTTTTTTGCAAATGTTGCTGGAATAAAATGTCCTTTCAATTATCTTGCATGTTTTGTTTTTTTTTTATCCAACAACCAGATGGGACAGTGAGGCTCCAGAGAGAAGTGGTGCTCCTCACAGATGACCGCAACCTCCGGGTCAAAGCGTTGACCCGCAACGTGCCTGTGAGAGACATCCCTTCCTTCCTCAGCTGGGCTAAAGTGGGCTGAGCCGCACTCTCCTGGAACGAAAAGGATCCCAACTGCTGAAGCCTGCTCGTCACTCAGGAGAGAGGACACACTTAAAGCAGAGGAGAAGCTGGGTAGAGGAAATGATAATAGTTCCACTTCTTAAGCAATACAAGCAAATGAAGTGCAGGGTGGTGTTAATGAGCTTCCTCCACTCCGTAAGGAAGTGTGTGYGCGTGTTCAGATCATCAAGCTTCCCCTTTAAAGAGTTAGGAAGACTTAAGTCTTCAAACGGCTGGAAGAGAAAGGAGGAAAAATGAAGTGATTAGATTTATGGGTTGCTGTGTGCAAAAAGCCTGCACCTGATTTAGTGTGCACTCTGCAAAGTGGGATTAAAATTTGGATCAGACGATGGAATGAAAACAGAGAAACCGTCGATTGTCATTTGTTTGATTAAAGGCGGCGGTAATGAAGGGTAGGAACGATGCTTCTGTAAAAAAATAAAAGAAAGAAAAAAGGCCCAGGCTTGGACTGTTTGGCCTCTAGAACAGAGCTGAGAGAAGAGTAGGTGCAGAGATACAGAGCTAAAAAGGGCTACTTGTCTTGAGGTTTCAGCCCTCTCATGAAGGTTCTGGTGTTTCCTGCTCACCCAGGAAGTGCCTGAAGCTCAGTCGGCAGCTTCGTCAGCCCCCCCGGCTTGATGTTTTTGTTCTTGTTGTAAGAAACCTTTTTAAGTTTTCAACAAAATGTTAGTTTTTTTTTCTCATTTTACCTCTTCCTGAGCTCACGTTATTGGTTCTCTTACAGTTCTTCGTTTTCTTTTTCAGCATTTTATAACGAGCATCTTCGAAGGTTTTTCAAATGAAACACGAACCATAAACCAGATGCATTTTTATTTGAAGTGGGTGCAGGTGAAGTTGTAAATATATAATTTGGAACAGATTAGGTTGTTGAGTTGCATTAGAGTTCGACACATTGTTTAACTTTAGACAGCCACAGTGACAGGTGGYACTTTGGATCTTGACTTTACAGAAACTTGTCAGGAATGTTGTATTTTTTGTTCTCCACAACCATCAGTGTTTTTGTGCTTTTCAGTTTGTAACACAACTGTTTACCTCCCTGGGTGTTTCTTTTCTCATCGATGTCTCCTTTACTCTTCAAACTGTGATTTTGTCAGGGATAAAATACATTTTTATCTGTAAAAACACGTTGTGCAGTAACAAACAAATCTTTGTTTTTTTTGGGTGGGATTAATTTACATCACTATTWGTGTTTAGTGTAAAAAACATGCTTTAAAATTAGCTTTAGTCCTCCGTTTTATTGCATCAGTTTATTCGTCTTTAAGTAAAGTTTATTGGTGTTTTAAACGATGTTTTCAGCTAGTTTCATCCAGTTTCCACCAGCAGCCAATGTTTGTGTGAACCAACCAGAACGATGTTTTTACTGCTGTCCTTAGTGGCTTTGTGACAAGTTTAGTGTCGGAGCAAATTGGCTGTTCTCATCTTTTCCCCTTTTTATGTTAAACCTGTTTTTACATTACTGACGTTCAAAGGAAAACGAGGAAAGTGTTGTGTTTTCAACAACAGCGCTTCCATCATACGTTTTAAAAGCAGTTAAAGCAGAGAAACGGCGTGCACGATGTTAGAACCTGCACGCTGAAGCTTCCACAAGCATTTTGTTCGTATTTGTGCTTCTTTGTGTTATCTGTACGGGTTTCCTGTGAAGAAATGCCAGTAMATATGTTTGTTTTTTTGTTTTTAATGAATAAAACCTGGATTTTTGTTATTTTAAGTGTTTTCTTCCTGGCAATAAGAGGAAGTTCATTGCTAAAATTAAAATGGCATTTTTGGCAAAATGATCGTAAAAGAACAGTTCCTGTTTCTTACGAGAAAAGTAAAATACAATTTTAAGAGAAAGTCTTGCAAGCGAAATAAAGAAAAGAGGGACTTCCTGCACAGTGCTGTACATATAGCCTGGCTRGTTTTAGGGACGGATAGTTCTGCAGCCTATCCATCCGTATCCTTTGCTTCAGCTCCTGCATACAGACCACACAGGCAGGCCCTGATTCTCATCATCATGACAACAGCGATGCCAGGCAACCAATCAAATCCCACTGCATCCTSTCCTGGATGCTGATTGGTCTCCCAGCCTGCTGCCTGTTGTGGAATGTCCATCTTTAACCTCTCTGCTGCCATGCACATTGTATTTTTCCCCTTTATGTTTTTTTTTCCTCCCTCTCACTGAATATAAGGCTATGTCTGCAGTCTGTCTCAGAAACATAATACCTTATTATTATTATTTATAAATAGTCATGCTTTGGCTTAAACAGCATGACCATGGATGAATAAAACAAACAGTGCAGATTGTGTATTTATTATATATGCTACAACAGCATGCCATATTATATAAACAAAGTGCTGATATTCCAGATAGWGTGGTCTTTTGAAAGTACAACTAGAATATATATATATTTTTAGTTTACTGTTTACATATGGGAGACACCTAGCATCCCTGTTTTATGATATAAAGAGTGTTTATCATGGTCTGTAAGTTAACTAGCTATTTATAGAGGACAGCTTAAGACTGAAACAGTTAATCAGGTTAGGGGCTCTGTGGCTGAAAGTGCATAAAGCCAAACAGAGAGGAGAGAGAGACTGCTGTTTGTGCTGTTATGTGCTCCAGGACCAATATTGTGTTGACACTCATTAATGTGCATGGCTTTCACTAACCTCTATGGCGTTTGCGTTGCTTTTATTTAAGAGGTTTTTTTAGGAGGACATTGCAGTTGTTTTACCCAGTCATCTTCAACCAGACCCCCTACAAAAACTGCATATTGACCAACATTGTTTTTAAAGCCTTTTCTTTTTTTTTTTGCCTCCCTTTTCGGTGGAGGGGAGGAGATTCTCTTCGCCGCCATTTTTAGGGAACTGCCTATCGAAGAGAGAAACTTTGCTGCTTGCCTTGCTTTGCTTTAACGTTAGCAGCTAGCGGGTTGTTGGCCGCAGGCTGCTTGTTTTCAACCAGCTCCGTGGTGACAGATAATGTCTGGCCACTCGTTAGCCAACTCAGCTAGCCTCACGATGATTTAAATTTATCCCCGCTGCAAAACCAGCCTGAATGACCAGAAACAAACACCGGTAATGGGGACAAAGACTGGAAGGCAGATAGATATATTCGAGTTAGGGCAATTATGCTGCGAGATTAGCAAATTAGCATAGCTAACTAGCAACTCCAAGCTTTGATTTCTCTGGACGGCATTGCCTGTCTGTGATTTAGCCACCTTTGCGCTGCTGTGGTCGGGGCGACAGGATTACTTTCCACTCCTCAACCTGTGTGGTTTCCTTTTTGCTGGGTGAGTTGATTAGCTTTTTTTGCTACGATTATTAAGCTTCAATATGGAGCTGAATTATAACATTTTAGTTTCGGACATAGCTCCTCCAATTTATTGCTATCCTCATGCTAACAGAAAGTTACTCTCCCACTTCATTCTGTGACTTTATTTCTCGATTTATTATTTTATTTCTAACTGGGCATTGTCCAGTTAACGTCAAAGCGTTTGTTTTGGTTTTGACACGGTTGTAATCGGGAAGCTACTCAGTGTTTTCGCTGTAAATAATGCTGGGCACGCAATGCTTCTCCATCACAGGAGTGTTAGCTAGAAGCGTTAGCTTGCTAATCCGCTTTATGCAACTATCGTTTGCAAGCAGTGCCACTCCCTCGTTTTTATTATTTTGTTTYTGTCCATTAAATTTACGCCAAAGCCAAGTTCTGCTTCGGCTGTGTCCCTTTGGGAAGTTTCCTTATCCGCAATGGTCTATAATGAGCCACATACTGTATTGATACATATGGGAGATGRCATCGGTCCTGCCTCCCCATCCATGCATGTCGCACGTAAATTTCGCCATCTRTGCTGCTTGTTGTGTTTACAAGCAGCACACAAGCACATTGTGCATGCATATATAATTGTATCCTAGTTTATGTGTCTAAATCGGCTGCTGATTACTGTTTTATACGCTGACGTGAGCCGCATTCCTCAGATTTGCGTGATGATATTGCGTAACTCAGCGATGTACCTCTGCTTGGTTTATTATATCTGTGCCTTTTTGTCGCTTAACTTGTTCATGACCCATTGGATCAGCAGTGCTTGGCAGCAGGTTAAACCTTTTTTTCTACATTACATGATGTGATCGCTCTCCTGCACCCACACATTTTATGATCTGTGCGCTATTTATATGTGGGCTCAGCGGAGTAAACACTGCAGTATGAGCTGTTCACCTGTCTTTGTTTTATTTTTTTAAGCAGCCTTCAAACAAGACCTGTATAGATATGTTGACGTTAACCTTTTGTGTTATCACAGATCATTTCCTGGTTTCTGGACCAGCCATTTCTTGATTTTTTTTTATTTATCTTCATGCTTGTCAAAAGAACAGCACCCTTTGTTTACTTCTAAGCCCTACCTGCTAGCTGATGCTCAGAGGTATGCGGACATAAGCTGTGAGAGCATCTCAACGCAGCAAAAACAGGGTTTTGCTTTGTTTTGTGTGCCATTTTTAATTCAGTAGATGGRCAAATAGCATGCTGGATTTAAATGTCTCCCAGGAGAAACAATGGATTAGACACTGAAGGAAATCTTGTCAAGCTTTTTTCTCCTCAGTCTGCCTCTGCAGAAAATATTTTCCAGCCACGCTGTGTCAGAGTATAATAGAGCAGGAAACTTACTGGATGAAAGGATTGCAAAACTGCAGTGATTTTCATGGATTTCTAAGTTTATAATCATTAAATATATATCTATAACTAAGTACTATTTGGAGTCATCCTGATATAAAATAGCAACCACAGCAAGATTAATAATCTACAATAAACCAGCCAGTATTATAAACACAGAGCTAAAATCTGGTGTGGTAGTTGCTGAGTCTACCAGATAACATAAAGTATTACATGAWGAGATTGCATATAAAGTCATCCCTTTTCTTCATAAGATGATTTTTGTTTTCCAGCATTGAACGGTGATGGGGGATGGTCCTTCTTTCAAAGAATTTTAAATTGCCTTGGCCATTTTGACTGGTACTGGCACCTATAKTGTGATGATGTAGACTTTTTAAATGTTCCTAAACCAACAAGTGTTTTTTCACATCAGTGAGCGTTAGTGCTTTTGGCAGGTTTTAACAGCAATGTTTCGTGACATAAAAAAATGAATACAATTACCTTTTGAAAACCACTAAAGTAGGGTCAGTCATCTGTTGTTATGCAGTTTGTTCAGAGTGATGAAACTTGCTGGGTTTTGGGTTTGCTGCATTGTTCCAGACACCATATCTGATGAGTCACACTGTGAGCAAGGAGAAGATAGATCTGTTAAAACTGTGCATCAAAAATTTGTCTCTTCTGTGCAAATTAGTAACTTTTTATGAGTGAGGCTATGCTTACATCCTGACTAATTACAACTTTAGATACAGCTGTGTGAATCAGTATTTTTTTTTTTGCCAGCTTTTCTAATTGACTTCCTCTAGTACCTCTTTTTTCAGACACACTTTGGTRCATTATTTGTTGTTTCTGTTTTTGGCTTTTACCTCAACAGGAGAAGGCTCCATGAGAGAAACAACCCTCTTTATGTTTGCACACTTCATTCCCCCTTTCCATTCCTCATCTTCTCTGTAGCATTAAAAATAAATAAATAAATGGGATGTGGTGTTGTTGAAATTTGGAAACCAGAGAGTTTTCACTTCCTCCACTCCATTCACAATCTGTAATCAGCCGGGGAAGCGACCACGCGGACACCCCACCCTCCATCTTGGGAAAGAAACTCGATGTGTAAGCCATTTGGATAACCGCTCTTATGCAGGTCATGAAATTAACATTTCTGCTCAGCAAACAGCCGTAATGTTGCCATTATTGGGCATCAGATTAATCATCAGTGAGTAATCTAATATAGTTACTCAATCRTCTGATCAAGAGACAGACGCTGGTGTTTTTGTACTCCTAATTCTTTTAATTTCCACTTTAAAACCAGAGCATTTTATGTTGAAGTTAACTGAAAGATACACATAGTTGCTGATTTATTTATTTATTTTTTCTCCCAGCAAACTATAATGGGACGCTTTCCCTTTTAGGATTTGAAAAATTAAATCACGTTGTGTCCTTAAAACATAATTTCATGTGGACCAGGACCAGCTAGATGTAGCTGATAWGTTTATAAGATGTACCACTTAGGTGCATTTCTGTTGTGAATTATTCAGCAATGCAGCATTAGGCATCCTGCTAAACACACTCAGGAAGCATTCATATGAGAGAACAAGTATTTACTCTCAAGGTTTGTTTGCACGAAAGAAATAAAACAGTCACATTAAGTTAATCAGTTCTGTAATTAAAACAGGGATTTGAGGTGTTCTTGTTATCAAATGCATAAAGTGCTTTGTAACAGCAGCTTGATCCAAATGGAGCATCTCTGTAAATACTCACAAATGTTCGCATTTAATCTGCCATTAAGTGACAAATATTAAGCTAGCTTTGTTGTGGTAGTAGCTCTGAGTCAGTCACAGTACATCGTGCAACATCTTTGCTTAAAACTTTTGCATTACCTGCTGGAACCCAATTCAACATGGCTGCTACAGACAATGATCATCAGTTTAGCAGATAGTTTACAGCTAGCCAGTGATGCACTTGTTTAGCTGATTTTATTTTTATTTATTTATTTTTGCGTCTTGGAGAAATCTACCATAGGGAATAAATAAAATATTAGATTATTTATTATGTCCCTCTGCTTTCTTCCAGTTTGCCTTTTTCTCGGCTGAACCTCTTGCTCCTCGGCCTGTGCGTGTTGCCTTTTCATTAGTGTGTGTAACTTGTGATGCTTTTGTTTTAATGAAATGGCAAAGTTATGTAATCTTTAACTTTACATAMGTTTAAGAGTTGTTGTTTTTTCTGACTCCTTAAAGATCAAGAGACTTCTCTATTTTTCCAGAAGTTAAAAGCAGTTTTTTTATTTTCTAAACATTCATTATGCTGATTTTTACAATGAGACCATTTGCTCACTCTTGCACATGTACTTCTGAAGACTCTAAACATTTTAGTAATTTGTAGTTTTAGTTAAAAGAAAATCATACCACTGTTACAAAGAAGCTGACAGCTGTTAAGCATTTATTTATTTATTTTTATTTTTTGTAGGGTTGGGCGATATTGGCAAAAAAAATGAYGCGTGATTATTGCGTAAGTTGGCTGGTAATGATTAATAGATGGCAGTTGTATTTACATGTTTTTGACTCAAAATCAGTTCTAATATATGCTTACAAATCATCAAACTAAGTTCTTCATTTTAACAAGTTTTAAAATTGTAAACTGAATTGAAACCCACCTTTTCAACAATATGGAGTGGCATGTTTAGTAACGCGGTATGCCTCGAGCTCACAAAAATAAGTCATCACGAGGCACTAATTGAACTGTGCCTGGAGTCAACCTACTTCACCTACGGGGGCAATATTATAGGCAGAAACATGGGTGTGCCATGGGATCCCCAGTTTCTCCTATTGTTGCAAACCTGTACATGGAGGAAGTGGAAAAGAGAGCCTTGATGTCCATTTCAGGGGTGCCACCGAGCCATTGGTTCAGATATGTTGATGACACCTGGGTTAAAATTAAACATCAACTCTGTGGATGAACATATAAAGTTCACACGAGAGGATGTAAAAAATGGCAGGTTGGCGTTCCTGGATTGCGATGTCTCAGTTTCGGATGGAGGATGGTTGGAAACTGGCGTGTATCGTAAGCYCACCCACACAGACCAATATTTGCGTTTTGACTCCCACCACCCACTGGAACACAAGTTAGGAGTGATCAGGACTCTGTACCACAGAGCAGACAGTGTCCCTACAAACCCAGGAGCCAGGCAGAAAGAGAAATCACACACACGACAGGCCCTGGAGCAGTGTGGTTATCCTGACTGGGCTTTCCTGAAAGCAGACAGGAAACACAGACAGGATTCCATGCAACCTTCAGGTGAAAATGAAGACCCCAAATCCAGACCCAAATCAGTGGTTATTCCGTATGTTGCGGGTGTTTCGGAGAAACTGAGACGTTTATTTTCTAAACATGATGTCCCAGTGGCTTTCAAACCCCAAAACACATTACGGCAAAGGCTGGTTCACCCCAAAGATCCGGTGCCCYGGCACAAACAGAGCAATGTTGTATATGCTGTTAAGTGCCAGGAGGACTGCGACCAGTTATACATCGGGGAAACAAAGCAGCCACTGTTCAAAAGAATGTCCCAACACAGACGAGCTACATCTAATGGCCAGAACTCTGCAGTTTTCACTCATTTACAGGCCAGCGGTCACTCTTTCAGAGATGAGGATGTTCTCATTCTTGATAGAGAGGAACGTTGGTTTGAGAGAGGAGTAAAAGAAGCCATTTTTGTGAAGAAAGACCGTCCATCGTTAAACAGAGGTGGAGGCCTTCGTTTTCAGTTGTCCCCCTCCCTACAGTGCTGCTATTGCCAGTATCACTCCACCCCCTGTTAACAATAGGTGTTAATTAGGTGTCAACGATAGCCATGTGATGTGAGTATCAGTCACATGGAGGCAGTGCTTAAAAGCCTGAATTTTGCCTGAAACTCTCAGATTGAAGAAGTCTCTTGGAGGAGAGACGAAACGTTTCATTAGAGAAGAACCCGTCCAGAAGACCTATACAATTTTTTTTCTTTTTGATTTTTTTACCTGGATTACTGAGATGTATCAGGACACTAATTGCAAAGCAATATTAATTGTTGACAGTTTTTCCTGATGATTAATTGCACACAATACAATTTTGCCCAACCCTTTCTTTGCAGGTGTCATGTTTTGAATGTAAAAACATGGTTAGAGTATAAATGGTTTAATTGCTTATTAACAAGCATATTAACATGGAATTATTGTTGTCTCGATGATAATGAATCAAAAATATGCATCCTGAATGAATCACACTACATTCAGCGTGAGGAAKTATTGCCTCAGGTTATTTCTGAAACTTGTGCTACAGGAAAACTTTTTTCTTTTTCAATATTTGTTTATGATTTAGTCATTTTCTGAGCAACATGTTTTCAGTTTGAGGATAAATCATTCAGAGCAGAGATTTTTAGATTATTCCAACAATAGCTGTGCTTTGTCTGTTGTGGTTAAACAGGAAATCTAGGACATGTCGTGAAGCTTTAAGTTATGCTGCTACTGAAAAAATGCAGATAAACTGGATTGGCGACGAATACGATATGATCAGATAAAACTCTGGAAATCAGTTCTATTTAGAGTCGCTAAAAGTATTTCTGACTGCGAGGAGACATGCCAGACTCTTTATTGTTTCATCTTTCCATCGAGTGTAAAAGGATCATTTTATATTGAAGAAATTTTTTATTATGAATCAATATGAAGTCAGACTGTGTGTCTTTGTAACATTATTACATGTTACAGATTACTGGGTTTAGGTGTGAAATGATTATATGGGATTTTACCCAGAGGCCTGATACAAATCAGTACACTATATTTACCAGCACTAGTCTCACTATGAGTGATGTTCCAAGTACAAATTTTAATTGTATTTTTATATAAAATTAATATTTTACATCTAACCAATTCAACATAGTAAACTCTGAGTTAATAGTTAAGGTCTTTATGTTGATAAATATCACTTAGTTATTTTAAAAGTTAGAAAATATTCTGGTTAATTTCTTTGGGGCCTGCTGCCATAAGGACTCCCCCCCGGTGTGAATGGCACCCTGGTTGTGGGAAGCACAGCAACAAAGAAGTGAGAACACATAACCCTAGTCTTGGCATCTTTTCAGTGGCTTCCTGTTTGCTTTCAGAATATTAACATTTTACTGTTAACTTTTAAGCTTTTAAATGGTCTTTAAGCAGCCAGAAGAACACGTCTCTTATAAATGTCCTATGATCTAAATTGAAATCTAAAGATTATGGAGCTTTTGCAGTGGCTCCTCCAAATTTATGGAACAGTTTAGATCGCAGTTTATGCACAGCTCAAATAATAGAGACTTTAAATTCTTGCATTTGTTTAATTTGACTTTCAACAGAGCAATAGAGCTCATCAACTTCTGCTGCACTATGTGCAGATTTTTTGGACTTTTTAAAATATTTAAATCCTGCTTTATTTGATTTAAAAAACATTGATTTTGACAAAAAGGCATAGTGTCCCCACGTGCTGCCCACAGATGTGCCTGACTTTTATTCAGCTTTGTATTCTCAGGTGGAGCTATTGATGATTATTTTTAATAGTAAAACATCAGTCTAAATATTCAACTGACGATTATAATTATTTTATATTGCTACGTTATGTTGGAAAACGTTAAATTAAAAAGTCTACACTTTATTCTTTGTTGGCTGAAGAGGATTGTTTTGCCTTGACCTGCCTAAACCTTAATAATGCAAACAGGAGAAAAAATAAATACTTAAATATTTTTTCTGTTTGTCTTTTGTCCTACTGTTATATTCTATTTGCGACATGGTTTTTTGTAGCTCAGTTATCTGTATTATTACTTAATTATATCTGCGTTGTTGCTTGTTAAATTCACAGCCTCCCCAAATGTTTTCAGTCATTTTTGTAACTTGGTGGRGCAATATAAAGGAAACTTCATTTTTAATGGTAGCGCATGTGGTCTATTGTAAACAAGACAGTTTTCACAGAGAGTAGTTACAATTTAATTTGCCAATTTTTCACCGTACACTGATTACATCTATTAACCAGAGTAGAAGCGACAAACCCAGTTTACAGAACAGCCCACGTCTGAATTGATCGTCCTGTGCAGCAAACTCATCATTACTGTGGGCCGCCTGCTTGCTGTGGACGTGAAATCAATCTGTGAACTGGGATATTTGCATTCTTCCACTCGTTCCAGTGGCTCTCAGATCTGCAGTAAATGCTGAAGCAGTCTAAAGCCACGCACCACTGATGACTCTGCAGTGAGTTAATTGTGTTGGTGTTTGCACCCAAAGGTGTGAACAGAGTTAATGTTTCAAATATTTCAGGAGCTCCTGACCTCGCTGTKGTCGTTAGCGGTCTGGTGAGCTACTGTTGAATATTTCAAGGACCCTTTCAGCCTTCTTGTCTTATTAATAAACACTGGGTTTAGGATTTTTTTTAGTATGTAAGTTATTAACAGCAGTAACACAAATAGGATGCTAATATAGTTTGGGGAATTTGAGAACACCCATTTTTTATTTGGTATTTTCACTTATTCCAAATACAAAACTTTGTCAAAATATAATACTGATATGAAAATCAAAATCAATCCAAAAACATTAAACTGCATTCAAAAGCTTCTTYGAATAAATGCATGAGAACTGCTGCCTTTCATGCCACAGTTTTAGACCRTTATGTTTTATGTGCAAGCTCATACTATTTTGGAAAMTGCAACAACTCAACCATTTTAGAATGCATTGGACTGAAAGTTTGTGTGGTGGTAGCTGAGAAAAGTCCTCATCACATACTGAATCCAAATCAAAAAGCCAAAATGGCCACCGCAGCTAAACAAAACAATTGGAGCCATTTGTGGCCATACTGAAGTGTAGGTTGGTGTGGTGGTCGATGACGCAATCTCCAACAACTAATCAACTCAAATCTTTATTTAAATTGGGCGCCATGTGCAATCAAGCTATATCGTAAAACGTCATACTAAGAGTAAATGTTGTGAATGACTACAACCACAACAAATGTTAACACAGTATTTGTAAAATAGACTGAATTATTGCAGTTTTTATGTTTTCTAAAGTCAGTCTGTGGTGGCCATCTTGAATCACTTGTAGAGGTACATTACATTCAGTTATTTCTTTACTGAAAGTTTCATTAAGATCTGTTTGTTGGTTCATGAAGTATTTTGCTAACAGACATCTGCACTGGACAAACGTGGGTAAAAACATTTGTCTTTCAGTGGCAGGCGATTAGAAACCTCTTGGACCAAATGTGCGTTAGAACAAAGAGTCCCGCCTCAGCAGGTCCAGCTGAACATAAAGAGATATTGTGCATGACTGTGTTCTGTGTAGAAGTGGGCAATGTATCACCACGTTTTTTTTTAAATCTCCATTTAAACTCTCTGACTGACTCATCCCGTCGTGTCTCATCTCCTCCCTTGTATGCAGGATTGTGTTCCAGCTCGCCTTTGCCTGACACCCCTGATCTTTTCCTTTCGTCTTGCGTCCGTCCAGGTGCCGATGTGAGCGCTTCCTTTGGCTCGTCCGTCGCTGCAAATGAATCTACGGCTGCTTCGGTGTAGCTCAGCGCCCAGATAGTCCCGTCCCCTCTGTGCGGGTGAGATACGGGACTACGTAAGCCAAGATGCCATCCTCGGTGAGGGCAGGGAGCCTGAAGGATCCGGAGGTGGCCGAGCTTTTCTTCAAGGAAGATCCAGAGAAGCTCTTCTCCGACCTCCGAGAGATCGGCCATGGCAGCTTCGGCGCCGTCTACTTTGTATGACAGCTGCACTTTATACCAACTTTAAACTACGCTTAAGCTCATCTGTTGGCASGAACGTGAATTTGTGTGAAGTTTTGTAACKAATAGTTCAGTAAAGATTAGGAGTGATTTGAGCATTTTTGCTAATAAGTGAAGGGCTTTATTAGCATCACTAGTAAAGTTATGACGAACCTGTTTTTTAGTGTTGCTACACCATGCTGTTCAGCAGAGGTGCATTGTAATGAAGCATATTTATTGTTACGGTGCTTTAAGTAATTTCTTTGACGATTTTTTAAAATCGTAGCTTTTATTTATGTTGTTATATTTAAAACATAAAAATGATGCTTTTATTTAAATTTTAATCTTTACTTAAAATTTAAACGCCTCATTGCACACAACAAATTGAACTATGACCAGAACTCATCATGAAAGGAGTTGTTTATGCACTCTAAAAAAATGATATGTTGACTTTACTTAGAGTGTGTGTAAAAGTACTTTTAGTTTATTGCAGTGGCAGAGACAGACATTTTTCTCAGGGGTGGCCAGGAAAACTACATAATTTTTTACTTTAAAATTTTCTGCAGATTTCTGTGTTTTGGTCATTTCCTTTTGTCTTTATACAGGCAGTGACTACCTTATAAACATGGGTGTCAGAACCATTTTAAAAGTGGGGATACACACTGTTGGTGGGTCTGGGGGTCCTCCCTCAGAAGATTTTAAACAAAATAGATGCCATTTCCTGCATTCTGGTGTACTTTACCAGGCTGTTTAACATACTTTTACCTACATAAATAAAAACTTGATTTAATAATTATTTCAGAGACATATTTTTAATTAAAATAGTTTCATTATCCTGTTTTTAAACTCATTGCTACAGCTGAGAAAAGGTTAATTAATGTGTCACAATTTATCGTATCTAATGACTTTAGGGGTGCCTTTTACTTTTATATTGTTTATTGGTTGATTTATTTTTAATTTTAACACATCATTGTGCCAAATAATGATGACCCTCAACTGCATGTTTAAAACTAATATTAATAACTTTATCCAATGAACAGGTGCAATATTGATATTCACCAACAGTGAATTTAGAGGGTGTTAAACTTTTTCTGATTTAGTGATAGCTCTATTCCTAACCAAAAGGGACAGAGAATCATGCAACCTTCAGAACATAAAATGACACTGTGATACGGTGAAGAAAAAACAAAAACATTTGCCACCATAAGTCAGATTACATAGGCATATGTTCTGTATATAAAGAAAATAGGGGTGCAACAATACATGTACCCGTATCGAACCGTGTTGAACAATACAGATTTAAAAAATTTAATTTATCAACATGTCTTCTGAAGATGCTCTGTGTTGAAGGATCAGTGGATCTGTGTTCGACTACTCCACCTAGGCTGCATTGTCGAGTGCAGATCCACTGAGAAACTTGCTGTTTCAGCAACATTTAATTTAAAAACTGTACTTTTGAGATTAAACAAATGTTCATAATGAATATAAATAAATTACAAGTTAAAAGGGGCATGGAAATTTCTCTTTTTTTGTATCGAAAAAATATCGAACCGTGAGACTAAAGTATCGAACCGAACCGTGAATTTCTTGTATCGTTGCACCCCTAAAAGAAAACAATCACTTCTTTGTCACTTCTTTGAGCTTGGTGATGTTTCAAACTGTTAAACACTGCCACCAACTGTTCAGGAGGATTATTTTTTTTCCAAGTACTTTTACACGCCTACTGTTAAGTTATAAATAAATGCCTCTGTGATGATGATAATCTACAGAAAGTCAGAGTTTGAGTATTATCTGAAACGTACACCAACAGCAGTCTTTGTTTCCTAGGCACGAGATGTGCGAACAAATGAGGTGGTGGCAATTAAGAAGATGTCTTACAGCGGCAAACAGTCTAATGAGGTGAGATAAGATTGATTTTATTTACGTAATGATTCGCAACTGGACCATAACGTTTTCACTCTATACTGTGAAGCAATTAAARCAAACCCCTTATACATGTGAAGTCACAGTCAGAACACAATTTACTTTTTGAAAGTATAAAAACATTTGGTTATGTAATTTAGAAACTACTGAAGGGGAAAAAATGAATACTTGTTTTTTATTCAAATAAAAAAAGCATTTGTGAAGAGTGGGAGTGGAAGGARAGAGGTTTCCTAAATTAAACGAATCACACTTTAGCTCTTGTTCCAGCTTGCCGTCCTCCCCGCTGATTCTTTTACATTAACTCTGAACAGATGGTAGGTTTTGCGAGCAGAGCGACCATATTTATATCTTTTCAAGACAAGATTGTGTGGACCTCTCCAGCTATCTGTACGGTGCAGAAAGCCAAGTAAGACTGTCCCTGTCTCCAACAGAAATGGCAGGACATCATAAAGGAGGTGAAGTTTTTGCAGAGGATCCGTCACCCCAACAGCATAGAATACAAAGGTTGTTACCTCCGTGAGCACACAGCGTGGGTAAGACGTTTACACGAGCAGGAGCAAATAATTATTTCCTTTTGAATATTTCTCTGTAAGCCTGCAGAATGTGTGGCGTTAACAAGGTTATCCTTGTTATTTTTGTGTTTCCAGCTGGTGATGGAGTACTGCCTCGGCTCAGCCTCTGACCTGCTGGAAGGTGAGCAGAAAGAAAATTCTTCCGCAAAGACATTTGTTGCTGTTGGAGCTTAAAGGGCTCATTTTTATTATGTATTTGTGACGACGTCGATGACTACCTAGAACGTTTTTCTTTCTTGTAGTTCATAAAAAACCTTTACAAGAAGTTGAGATTGCTGCCATTACCCATGGTGCTCTGCAGGGGCTGGCCTACCTTCATTCCCACAACATGATACACAGGTAAGTGATCTTACTAAAGGTTTGCAAGGTTTTTTTTTGTTTGTTTTACACCATTTCATTTTGTTTTTCTCAGGGATGTAAAAGCAGGYAACATCCTGCTGACTGAACCGGGCCAGGTCAAACTGGCAGACTTTGGCTCCGCCTCAATTGCCTCACCTGCCAACTCTTTTGTTGGAACGCCATATTGGTAAGGCAATTGTACATTAATTTGTTTTTGTTTTTGTTCCAATCAAAACTTGTGAACCATCTCAGTGTTTGTCTAAATTATCTTTGATTTATAAAACAAATGAATAAAGCCTCTTGTTTTTCGTTCACCCACAGCTGAGCTCTGCCAGCTGACATATTCCAGTGCTTTTCTGCTGTTATTCCTTTGGGCAGCATGTACTCTAAATAAAGACACTGCTTTTTTTGATCATATTTGATTAATGTTAGGGGGGAAAATATACTTCAATGTGTTATGAGGCCCATCATCCATTGTTAATGAGATTTACCTGACAGAGGCTTGAGAGTTTTTTCTTTAAAACTGATTTTTATCTTCACACAGGATGGCCCCGGAGGTGATTCTAGCTATGGATGAGGGCCAGTATGATGGGAAGGTGGATGTCTGGTCTTTAGGGATCACCTGTATAGAATTAGGTAGGTTACAGCATGCCTGCAGTGTAAATTTAGCTCTGAGTATTATGCTTATACTAATGTTAAGAGTCATTTGAAATAAATAAATAGGGTCTTTAATTACATTTATAGTACTRTGCAATAATTTTAAACCATCCCTAACTTTTTTTATAACATAATTAGTGCTGTACCAAACGATTATTTTCTAATTGATTAATCTAACGATTATTTTTTCGATTAATTGATTATTCTAACAACAAATCTGTAAGTTATTCTGATGTGAGTGCACTGGATATTTAAAATGTTTTCATCAAATTAACAAGAACAATTCTTTAATATTGTAATATTTTCTGTAATAGTTTTTTTCATGGACACAAAATACTGTATGCACTCTAGAGTCAATTCTTTAACAAAAAAAGCTTAAAAGATTTAACATCAA